GAGGTAGAAAAATGTCTTCTGCATCAATATTAAGTGTAATTCAACATTACCAACGGAGTATCGAGCATTCCCAGGACGATGAAGGCAGAGTAAGTAGATATTGAATATTACAAAAAACTTTAAATTTATTAATAGCATATTGAAATAAAATAAAATTTAAGAACTGCATGTTTGTTAATATGTATGTACATATGAATAAAGTCATAAAGTGCAAAAAGTTTCCCCGAATTCTCACAAAAATCATCGTACTTACATATTTATGTATGTAAATATGTACATATATATGTATAATGTGTGCGATATGAAATATAAAATGCATAATATCACTTTAAAAGTAAATCAAGGTCGAAAAGCACCTTATATTATTGAAGTTGGCTAAACATTTAAACATCGTGTCTTTACCAATTTAGTTAAGTATATTGTCAGTTTTAGAGTTGCATAGCTTTACAAAGAAAGAAATAATATTTTATTTTTGCAACATATATTCGTATATGTATGTAAATATGTACTAGCTAAGCACAACGGCAGGTGGTAAACCTTCAGATATTACCTGAAAAAATTAAGTCGCATACATACGTACGTATGTACACACTCACATATGTATATGTATATGCACATATGTATGTCCATACTTATGCATGGCTTTTCTCGTGAATACATAGTCCACCATTTTCATTATATACTTTATATTGGTTTAAAGGGTATGTATTAAGTTACTCTTTGAGGAGTTAAAATTCCAAGTCAACATGGATATAAAAAACTTCCTACCTGCAAGCATCTGTATGTATGTACATATGTATATTTATGAATTTAACTTTTTTTATTATCTTGTTTAGTCTGCGAATAATTTTTAAGACTATTTGATTAATAATTGATCAAAATAATCTCACATTCTAGCTTTTGCATTGTATTAACAAGCTGTATAGACTGCCTGTAAGGGTGGAGCATTTACAAGAGACTGGCGTTGGTAAAACTGTGAATTCGTTGCGAAAATATAATGGAGAAATCGGTGTTGCTGCAAAGGCTTTGGTCACCAAGTGGAAGGCCATGGTTGCAGCGGAAGAAGAACCACCCGAAGCTAATAACTGTCAAGGTGACGATGACGATGACGGGAACAATGCCAATGGGCACGGGTCAAGTGATGATGATCACTATAATCAAAACCATACTCAAGGCAAAGGTACATCCCAAGAACAACATCAAAAAAATACATTAAGTCAAAATACATCTAAAGAGGAGCAATCAATGCATAAGAATAAAAGTAGTTCTGACTATAGATCTAAGTCTCATAACGAAGATAAGTCAAATAAAAGTTCGTATGAGCAATCGTCATCGAAACAAAAAAGACGCATTGAGCAAGAGGAAAAAGAAATTTATTCTGAGAAAAAATCCAAACATAGTGAACGTGATAACGAGGAAAAGAATTTGGAAAATGATAAACATAAATCGTCAAAAGAGAAGTCAGAACGAAGTCGCGAGCGAAGTGAGAAACAAAGCTCAAGCAGGGATGTAAAAACTACCTCTCCCAAAATGTCGCATCATAAAAGTGGTGCCGATTCCAGGGAAAAAAAAGACAGTGCCAGGGGTGAAAATCAAAATGAGTATACGAGTTCGTCAAAACAACAACTAAATCACGCGTCAGAAAAGACAAGAAAAAACAAGAACGAGGACAATGAAAAACAAGGATCGTCAAGGGAAAAGGATAAGCATGAACGATCAAAAGAGGTAAGTGGCTAGTATTGCTGTTATTGCGTATTAGATACACGTATAATTTTATGGTGGGTGATTTCTTATAGAAAAACCGGAAAAATAGAAGGGTAAACAAATTTCATACCTAGTTTCAATTTATTTTCCGCAGAGAAAATCCACGCTCCTATCCTCCATTATCGTATCCCCTTCCAACTCTAAACCCATCACATGTATATCAATGGTGATGTGCTGATGTGCACAATTTTAAGTATGTATCAGTTAATCGTGCGTTTTTTTTTTGTAATTGAATTATTGCCTTTATATTAAATAGAAAGCCATTTTTTATATCTGTTACCGGCCAAACCCGATATTATTACCTGGCTAAGCTGGTTGTTCTTTGATCCTATACATGATTAATTTTTTACATATATAAGTGATATTGTACGAGTTAGTTTTTTCATTTTTATTTCATTTCATTTATTAAGAGAAAAAAGCATTAGTACAATAAGATCACAGATCTTTTATAGTTCAAAACAGAGATTAAACATACTAGTAAAAATACACATTCATTTTTAAGCAAAAAAAAAAAAAAACCGATTTAAATTCTCATATAAAAATTTAAAACTATCGTTAATTTCTTCATGATCATATGATCGGATTTAAACCAAATCAGTATGGGACTTGTAAGGTAACACATTTCCTTTAAAAAAAGAATTATTGAAATCGGTCAACATGGTCCAAAGTTATGCGGTAACATATATAAAAAACACGAACTGATAACTTTCTCCTTTTTGTGAAGTCGGTTAAAAATAAATACAGATTACTTAAAACAAAAATAAGAATAAAATATATATCACATTATACATATGTAGCAAAGATCTACACAGATGACAAAAGGAAAGTTAAACATTTAGATAGCGAAACACAGACTCAAAAATTGAATAAATAAAAAAATAAATAAATATTTCGTTCAGCAAAAATACGTTTAGATGGTGTTCTTAAAGTTGCTGTTATTCAATCCACTTCGATTGAAGGTAGGGAAGGTTTTGGAATTTTGCGCTCTTATTTATTTATTTATTTATGTAAAAACCGAAATTTCACACTATGGGCAATTTAATTTGGACACGTTTAAAAGAGATTTCTTTAACGAGATGCACAAAATAATATAATAATGAAGCACTTGCACTAGACTCACAATCCAAGACGTAGACAAAAACTGACTTGTTCATTGCCAGATAGACTAAAAGCTGTGCAATGTGGAACTCTATCAATCATCTTATGTCGATGTTTCTTATATATTTTTTCTCATAAAATTGTATGTACGTAGAATTTTGTGAAACACTAAAACCTACATGGTTTGGGAATAAAAAATATTCTTGATATACATTTCTTCGTTAATCTTAAAAAAAAA